TGTTAATCATAATGGTCATCTTTTATTCTTTTATTAATTGTATATACATTTTACATTTGCGTTAATAACAGCACAGAGATGGATAGGGTAATTTTCTTTCTCTTTTTGACGGTGGAATATTTCCACTTACAGCCACGCGTATGCCTCCCCTAACTATAATATCTCTATGGACACATTTTTTTAGCTTATGTAGTCTATTCATCAATTCAATATTATTATATGTAACCCACCACTACATTTACTGTATCAACTGAATAATATCATTATAGTTTTTATTGAATGTGACCTATTCTAAATAACAAACATTTTTTGTAATCTTGGTCTTCAAACGAATTTGAAAATGATACACTTTAGAAAAATAAGTACTGGATCGCCTTGTGATCATCTAAAAAAAACATCGAACTTTGAATTTCTGCAATTATTTCAATCGAATCCACAGCTTTTAAATTCTATCGAGCAAATTCCCCAATGATGCTTTTCCAATGGCACCATTTCCAAGCCGAACGTGTCAAATAGTTTACTAACTTAGTTTCTCAACTTTGAGGCAATGCACGGAGGTAAAAGCATAGTGTCTCTCCACTTTTAACAATGAATCATTAAACTTTGAAATCGCGCCTTTAGTTCTTTTTTTTTAAAGGGGCTACCATCTTTTTTCGCGGAGTTATTCGTTATTTAAAGCGAACCCTGAAATTTTACCCTTTTTGTACGAAATAATTGTAGGATATGCGTGGAATCTGTAAAAATAGTGTAGAATAAATGTAGAATGCGTAAAAGAAGTTTAAAATGAATTAGAAACGTGTGTGGAATGTATAACGAAATTCTAGAGGAAGTGTGAAACGTGTGGGATATACATATGTAGAGCGGATGATACGTGTTTTCAATATCAGGTGTTGTATCCTCTATCTCGTGCAAATACCACACCTATACTAGAGCATTTCAGCACATTGCACGAACATTCCACACTTACCCATAGCTTTTTCAGATTCCACACATATCCAGCACGCATTCCTCATGTATTCCAAATTTTGTTTACATTCCATACATAACGAACACACATTTTATACTTACTCAGTCTGAAGCAAAAGAAGTAAAATGTACATACAGTTTCTCTACGGATGACATAAAAGTGTATTAATTTTTATTTCTTTTGCAATAAATTATTTTATCGGATCTCACATCTTTGTTATTTTAATTTCCAAGAAGAGTCGTTGTTTTTCCTCCAGAGATCGATTAAGACACTTCACTTTAAAAAATGACGACATTCTTTATATTTCCTCTGCACCTTCTTTACTCGCAGAGTAACTAGCCATATAGTATCTTCCTTGGAACCATATAACACCTTTAAGCAACACTTTCTCCTATTATTTGTAACATACTTTGTAGTTGAAAAATACGCGGGAATTGCGTAATTTTTAATAGTGTAACTTTGATATACATATTTAGTTTATATCTTCAGACATTGAGGAACATATTTATAACAGGAAATACAAATTTTAAACAAAACACTCTGTATATCTCAGTATACATACAATATTTTGATTTACTTCTTCGCGTCATTCGAATAGAAAGCTTCCATGAAATATGCATTGAACAAATTTAGGTTTACATAAATTTTTCTTTTATAATACCTAACACAGTTTGCTGGACTTACGATGTCCCTTCAGAGAGGACATTCGAGTGCAAAGGGTTACAAAAGCGAAGACGTTAGGGTCGATAAAGTTACTGGACCACCCTGTGTACGTTGCTGAGGTCGAGGTACTCACACTTTCGATCTGTGTGTGCCCACGTCTTAAGCTACCCATGTGAGGGTGTACATTTGACGCGTGAACGAAATTTCCGCAGCGTTTTTTACCACCGATGAAATATCCAACATTATAGCTACCCCTTATCATCCCTAGTTGGCGTTGGTCTCCCCGAGGAGCTTCGTGACTTACGGGCTGCTTCGTCTACTTTATCTTGATGGTCCAACGGTGATATACAGGTGTATGTTAAGTGCCACGATAATAATTTCTGGAGAACGCCCAAAATAATGCGACTAACCAGTTGTTTCGTACCTTCGCCAACTACTGACGACTATCTCGACTGCAGTCGCCTACAATTATCGTGTCCACGTGTAAACCGGTCTATTTCGGTCCAGCGATCCTAAGCACTATGTAAATCGAGATAACGCGTTCTTACTTAGAAAGTTACTTAACGCTATTGATACGAACGATGTCCAATTATCCTTCGAGTTATTATCGTCATGGTGTCCGTTGTAGCTTATCGCGTCCATATTACACTGGACTGAACACGAGGGATAAGAGATTACCCTATCTCGGAACATAGTGTTTCATTTTCACCCCCTAATCGCATCGTAGGTATATAAACTACACTGAAAGAATGGTTGCTTCAATTGGGAACAACTTGTCGATAGGAACTACGTCCAATTGTCATTCATGTTATAATAACTACGGATGAGAATATGCATGAGACATTTTCTCTAATTGATCAAGCACTAAGTACAGTGGAACCTGGAAAGACGTTTCCTTATTACTTAACATTCATAGGAACGATATCGAATTCTTCGTCTAGATATAACTACCAGAGGATTACAAATTGTCTATTTCAATTAAATTTTACTCGACGTTATTGGTAGAGACGATACCCAGATAGTCTCCAAGTTACGATCATCATCGGGTCCATTGAAGCCTATCGCGACCCTATTACAGTTGATTGAACACGGCGGATAAGAGATTATTGTATCTCGGTCCAGTCACTTTCATTTTATCCTATTGATCGTATTCTAGCTACAGCGGGACCTGAAAAGGTGATTCCTTAAGTTGGGGATTATATAACGGTTTCATAGACGATGTGTAATTGTTCATCATGAATGCAGATATAAACAATCTTCAGTCAGGGATTGTGAAGAGTAATCGCGTGAAATATTAACAGAAAATACTGATAAATACGAAAATTGTAGTAAACTTTTTAGTTCACCTCCTCTTTCCGAAAACTTACGACAGTTATGACAATTAGACGCTGTCAATGAAAATTCTCTCACTTTACCACCGATCGGTTAAGTGTTAAGTTATAAGTTCGTGAACATTACTGGTAGCATTTACGTACAATAGTGAATGTTACCTAAGAATTGAGGCTACGTAGATTCAATCTACATTTCTTAACTTATAAGTTTGTAAATATTACTGGTAACATGGATGTTCAACTATTCCTGAAACTGCAGACACCACAGTGTCCACTGTCGTATATGGCGACCTATTACGATCGATTAACAATTGAGGGAAACAGCAGAGTGCATCGATGCAAACTATGTCACTAATGCTATCCTAAACATTATCCAAAACTTGGAAAGTGCTTTCTCAAGTAAATTCTCGTAAACCTTGTTGGTAGCACCAACATTTTATAGATTCTTCTCGGATATTTAGTTGATGATACCAAATGTTTGCCAATTACTTCGGAGATGTACATATTTAATGCATTTTAATGTTTCAGATTATTATACCAATGTTTTTCGAGAAAGTAATATTTCCGAACATGAAAAGTTGAGAGAAAGTAATCGTACGATATTTTTCTATATTTTAATATCTATTGATTGGACCAGCTAAATAATAATTTCTGACAATAGTTAAATTAATTGTTAACAATAATCGTTTGATCAATGACCGAGAATATGACTTTTCTGTAATATTTAATGTTTCGCGCGGTTGTTGTTCGTTCTACCCCTTCTCTACTTCCAGAGGTAAAAACGAGCTACGAGTGCGCTACGACTCGGACAAGTATACGAGGGGCGGCACGCATTCTTCAATGATCCTTCGGTCGGTATGGATCTCGCGATCGCGCGGCCGCGTCTCGTGTCCCACCTACTTTTTTCCTTGTATTTCTAATGGCTGCGAACTTGTAATAAGATCTTTAGATATAAAAAGTGTAAAGTTTAAAGTGTAAAGTGTAAAGTGTAGTGTGTGACTGGGCTGAAAAGTCGGTTGCCATCCTTTAGTGACGAAATAAATCAATAAAAGAATAAATTTAAAACAATAAATACGAAATAAACCAAGAATGGCACGCAATGCTTCCGGATTTTTAATTGATCATGAAGAGGAGAAATAGGACTACATTCTTAGTTTTTTTCAAATTTTTTAACTTGTATCTACTACTAAATATTTATTCCAACGCGAAAGTTTGCCAACCATTCGATTACGAACGTATACGATGCGCCTGCTCGCATCGCTTATATAAAGAAAGAAAAGGAGACGAATAAAGTCCGTGCCGTTTTATTTTCCCGCTGTCCGATTCAAACGCCGTCCACTGACATAGGCTTGTGTACAAGTAGTGGGAATAGAAACATAGACGGCGTCACTGTTAACACGGGGATCCAGGCGCCATGAAACAGCAAATGACAATTGAATATGGTCCGGCGCATTAAGACAGAAAATGGACGCACAAATAGGCGCGAAAAAGACCTTTAAAATTGTATTTTCAACACTTGAGTAAACGTCACGAATAAATTAGCTGATTTTGATTTATTCATTTGTTGTCCATTATTCAAATAAAATGTAGTTAATGCCTGTATCATATAATTAAAAATGTTGTTCGCCATGCATAATAAATTGCTGATTTTATTTTATTATTTTGTTGCCTATTATTTAAATAAAATGTAGTTAATGTCTGTAACATATAATTAAAAATGTTTTTCGCTATCTCTATACATAATACAAATACAATTTAGTTAGTGCCTGTAACATATAATTAAAACTGTCTCTTGCTATCTCTAATAGATTCCCAGAATAACAGTCTCACTTCACCTCAGATGTACTGTCCAATACATTTGTCCCCTTACCAAGAATTCCTTTATGAATAATACGTTATCGACCTACATTCCGCGCCTAGGATTGATGTAGTTAACATCTATTTCTGTAATAACGGCTTATCGACCGAGTCGACGGAATTAGTTAGCGACTGCTCCGTTAGAGAGTATCGCGATGATCGAGGAAACGGAGTGGGGGCTGGATCGCACAGTTCGTAACGCACCTACCAGGTTGTATAGATCCATTCGGAATAGTGTAGTTTGTTTCGAAACGTTTCGGTGTTGTTTTCACTGTTATATATTCATGCGTTCCGTTTCGGTGAAAAGAAGAAGTTCACGTTGTTCCTGGGTGTTTCAAGGACAGAAAAACGCCTTTTTGTGTATACGAGAGGGACGTGAATTGGGAAGTAATCGTGCGTGTAGATCAGTCTGTCAAGTCAGGTATGTTATGTATCATACATAGAAACAATGCCACGGCATTCCAACGTTCGGTTTCGTGGAAAATAGCAATGGTAAACTGAGAAAAATACGATGAGAATGTACATTCGACCGGCTCGTATCCGAGGGAATAAACCGGATGACGATAACAGTATATTAATTGGGCTCTGAGAATGCTAAGTGACTCTTTTTTTCCCGCTATTTCGTGCTAACGTACTCGCGGAGCGGTAGAAGCTGTAGGTCACGATTATTTCTGTCGTGTACTCGATGGAACCACGTGGAAGTGTAAATGTCCACGAAGAAAACTGACATTTACCATATTGCCGTGCGTGAAAGCAACGATGAGTCCCCGTCACGATTATTTCTATCCAAAAAACATTCTTCGACTTCGTAAATATATTTTTAAATCTTTCACCATGGTTTCACATTTCGTTTACAAGTTCCATCTCGCTGCGTGTTTCCCTATTGTTATTCGATCGTCTATCGTTAGCAGTAAGTTCTGAACGTTAATGCACCGATAACGTGCCACATACTCGAATCTACCCGCCCACATGCGTAAATACATAGCGATATGTTCGCGAGTACATGCATGGCACGTGATACGTACTCTCGCGTATTACCACTCATTGTTCGTGAGATAGAAAACCCTGTCATTCGCTATTTTCAGTCGAGATGACTTCACACCATAAGATTAAGTAATTCCCGTGGCACGTCGACTGTATGACATAATTTCCTCGAGCAGGTTCGATCCAGGACCAAATGCGAACATGATCTGCGTTTATCTGAGACGCAAACGCGTATACGCCTTTTGCGCCGGACGATAGCTCGTAATCGATCCGGCGTGCATTTTTCTCTTTTCATCCTTGGTTCACTTTCGATTGTGGTTTTTCATTCGTTCGACGAAGGACGATCGTTTGCATTAAGCGTTGAAATTAATTCTGTGTCTTCGTGTTCGGTAGCGTTGAAATAGTTCATGTTTGCATACAAATATTTGGAAATCATTCTGTTACGTTGGTTTATTATGCTTTTAAGCTCTTTCAACCTGATTGCCATTACAAGAGTATTTGCCAATTTTTTAGTGTAGACATTAATTTCCTACTTTCACATTGAATTATTTGTAACTCTAGTTTAAACAAAAACATATACCCGCTATTTTGTTTTATTATAACTTTCACGAAAAAATCAAAATTGTTTCGGCAATCCTTCTTACAACTATATGTAAGTTTACCCACAGAAAGGCACGGAATTAATTTCTCCACCTAACATAATTGGAGTACCGTGTAAATTAAGATCATTGCATTTGTTTGCATTTTACTTGAACGTACAGTAAATTAAAATATACAAATGAAAAAGAATACTCGAATAATTCGAATATTCCGTTAACCGATGAAATATCGATTTCAGAGCGACCAGAGATGATGGATCAAGGATTCCCTGGACAGCATACCACCACAACAACAGTGACAACAACAAGCACTACCACGCAACCAAATATTCGATTCGATACGTCGTATATAAGAACAGTGCCCGGTATGCTGAAAGTCGCTCAAGTGGTAAGTTCGTTCGCATGCGTTTTAATCGCTCAGATTCTAATCGTATCCTGTGATTTCTGAGTGAATTGCACGCGAGCAGTTACTAAAATTAACAGAAAATAAGTACGCCATGATAATTTTGCAATACGTCGATGCTATTTCAAAGAAAGGAATTAATTAAATAAAGCTATAGAGTCAAAAATATACTAATTAAAATTTTTCTAGCCTGCAGATTATACATAAACATTTTATAAATGTGTTTTATTTCTCAAGAGTCATTGTTTCCATGACTTTTTTGATGACAATATGGTTTTTTAGGGGGAGGGCTGGAAAGTTAAAACACCATGTACACGCCAGTCGGTGATATTAATGAAAGTAAACATTAGCATTTATTATCGCTCAGTTATCGCGTTCGTTAGATGGAATAGTCCGTCCGGAACAGAACACCTTAACGGTTTGAAGATACGAAAAAGTGTCGAAGCCAAAATTTAAGTATTAGGTGTAGATATTCATTCTAGGCCTTTCTAAAGAAAATTAACCGTTTATTTACAAAGAAAAATCGCGCAACTTTGAATTTTTCTTCAGTCACACATTCCAAGGTAGATTTTCCTTCGGAATAGTCAAATATTATTAATTAACATCAGTGTTTGTCAGAGTGGAACCTGCAGAAAAAGCATATTACAAAGAATAAATCAGAATAATTGAAGAGAAATAATACTTTCAAGTTATATTGCAAAAATTAGTATTTAATTCTACTTCTAGGTCTGCTAACAAAGTTTCTTTATTGTTTTGTTCCGTGGAAAGATCAAGTTTGAGAAACACTGGTACAGGAACGCTGGCTTATGTTGCGTGCCCTATCTGAACACAATACGACATGTGGAGGGGATCAAAGGGCCCTCACTTAGGGGGCCGCATGGACAATGTTGGCAGCTGGGGAGAGTCGAAAAAGAGTGTGAGGAAGGAGACATTTAGTTCAACGGAATGCTAACGCGACGAAAATTCAATTATATACTATTGATTTGTTGGAAAACTTGAACATGTATGTTCAAAGCTATTTTAAAGATAGTGAGAACAATTTCCAGTATCATTTAGATACAAGAGTAATTCTATTACGAGAAGAAATTAAATAAAAGCCGTTGGAACAAAATGAAGTAGCCACTCTGGGGCACCTGAAACGCTATCCCCACTACAAGCCATCTCCATCGCGCCATCTTTCATCTCTTCGCGCAGACACGCAGGCGTACGCCCTCTAAATCTCAAACGAAGAGTGATAATGAGAGATAATTAAATGTTCTGTTTCTGATGCATCATCCCATATTCTAATGATACATTTATATACATAAGTCAAACAGTGTTGTGTCATTCACAGGCTGAAATCAACTCATACTTTCTTCTGTCAATATTTAAACATTTAAGTTTACCATTTTCCTGATCAATATTAATTACAGTTCAGTCCTTTTTATTATCACAGGCGTTCAATCTTTTGGGATTCATATGCATCACAGCATCGAGCCAAGGTAATACGAGTCGCGGAGGATGGTTCAATACGGTAGCCATGATTGGCTTCTGGTGCACGGGAATATTACTCGTCTTCTACCTGTTCCATATAGTCGAGAAATTCTCGAAAATTCCTTGGCTGAAAGTTGTAAGTAAAATAAAAGTATGATGATTTTCTGGATGCGGTATATCGTGTCATTTTTAAAAATATAACGTCCCATGAAACTTGTCGAATGTAAGTTTAAAATATCGATCGCGAAGTAATGGGGACGTTCTGTGTTATAGCATGATATACGTACGAGTAACGTGACTGTTCTTATTATTATCGATGTTTGGCGGATTAACGTTCCTTTTATCTTGAATGATGATTCATTAGGGACATTCGATACAATATCTTTAGATTTATAAAATAATTTTGACTAACAGTAACATTCTTATTCATTGTTACAGGAGTTTATATATTGCGCAATTTGGACAGCTTTCTATTTGCTGGCCGCTGCGCTTGCAGCAGATTACGCTAAAGTTGTGGAAGCTTTCGGAGCCGCTGCGGTAAGTTTCGTATAGTATTAATATTTAAAGAGAATAAGGATATCTATGCCCTTATATACATTTTCTTTCCTAGTTCTTTGGATTCTGCGCTATGGTAGCTTATGGCTACGACGCATGGCTGAAGTTTCAAGGGGTGAGAAGCGGTGCCTTAGCGCAAGGCCAATACTCCCCCAAACAAGTCTCCACGGTGACGAGTCCTGCGTATTAACAACGTAAATCCAAATAAAAAAATTGTCATTTCTACGCATTCGATTTAATTAAATCTTACGCATGTATTCGTACGTTTCTGGAAACGCACTATATAAGAATTGGGCACAACAGATTTGTCAATTTCGTAACGCTTAAGTTTGCTATCTTGATTGAAGTACGTATATATTCGCGTGTATGTAGATGCCTGTAATCTCACTCGTGCACGGTATTCGGTAACCTCATATCATTGTAAAAAGACTATAAAAAGACGATATATATATTACTATATACGCGTATTTTTGAATCAATATATGTATATATACATACATATGTATATACACACATATACATATATGTTAATTGATCGTATATATAGTTGTACATTATGAGTTTTTAATGTTTGTTAATATTGAATATTTTTTGACAGGTAGTATATACATATACATATATTTGTATACATGTACAAGAAATATATATTTAATCAGTATTGTGTTTATGCTACAAAACGTTGACACTTTATATTTGTACTCATTTTGTATTTAATTTTATACGATGGCAACTCGATTGCTTTGTGTCGGATCTTAATTATAGTGGCATCTAGGCGGACAATTGTCTCAAATTAAGAAGGCGGTTAAAACATGTAATACAATAAATGGGATTATTGTTTTTCGAATGTGTTCTTGCTACGTATAAGTTGTCTGAATTATGTCGGCATTATGTGTTCTATAGTGTTAGAAGCTAGACGTAAGGATAATTTGTTATAATTCATCGATTATCATGGTATTAACGCAACGTAGTACGCATGTTTTGTCATTTTTATTCGATCAACTCCGTACAGGTACCTACAATCATATGTACACGATATATATATTCTAAATAATCTATAATAGTTACAAATTTAGAACATCACGAATACAAACATAACGACAATCGAGACAATAAAACTCGCATTACTATACCACTACTTAACGAAACAAATCATTCAACGTTATTTCCTTCATGTAACGTTTTTCCCTTCAAGCTTCCTCGCAAGCAAAGTATCGTAAACCTACAAGCTCTTCTGACTACTGACATACGCGATGATTTTGTGTTACATGATTTTTTTATATAAAAGTTTCAATTTTTTCTGGCGTATTATTGGAATCGTAGTCTAAATTAAAAGATAGACAGAGATCATGAGATTTTGAAAAAGGTGTGTATTATTGATATTTAATATTTTCTTTGTTCGGTAAATCTTTGTCAAGTCTATCATCTAAGCGTGTTAATTAACGAGAAAACTTAACTTTTATTGATTACTAAGACGAGGCCTGCGAGATTGCTTTTTACCCATGCTTGACAGATCTATAGTCTTGCCATCGGGAAGAACCAATTTGTTCTCTTGGTAATCAACGAACCCATTCTGTTCGTCTAATTCTCGTTGTTCTTCGTCGCATCTGATCCCCGTTTCGTACGTGTATTCACGACGAAGACCGTCTGGATCTATGTAACCATACTTGCCCCTTGTTAAACAATCGATGCCAATAATTTCTTCTTTGTACGATCCATCATCGTTCTCAAAGCCCCAGGTGATCGAGCCGTCTGGATTATCGTTACGATATCGCCTGATGATCTGTGACAAAACAATGCATTTAAACTGTAAGATTTTAGTCTCTTTATTACCCGTTATAATTGTTTATCACAATAAGATTCGTGTTAAAATTCTGTTGCTTTCGCGTTACCATTGAGAATCAACTACAATTCAAAGCAAGTATGATGCTCCAGAGGAATGCACCTGCTTTCGAAACAATAGCAGAGGACTACAAATCATTATCTCAGAGATATTGACAAATGAAGGTTTTGAAACGTGCGATATTTTCTGGGCCTCTAATAAATTATTCAATGTACACTCTCGTTTACTCAACATTGATCCGCTTCCATATACGCGATGCATATGGGATCAACTCTCTCTTAACATTATATAACTGCTACGAGTTTCATGCTCCAGTTTCAGCCGACTAATGCGACAGAATGAGATAAATCACTGAAAACTATTTCCTGTTACAGGGTTATCAGTTTACTACTGTATCTAGTGGGCGTCTATTTATATACTTTTTAATTTCAGTGCTCACCTACGTAATAATACGTAGAAATGAATGTCAGCGTAGATTAATATATACTAATATATAAAATCGTCTTCGAAGCTGAAGACTGATTCTAAACAGCCCTGTGGTTAAAGTGTTGACATTCAAAATCAATAGGTACTGTGTCGTGTATAATTACGACAGTCCAAATATCAAATAATTTATGATATATACTATTCATTTTTCAAGCAACCACTTCCCTAACATAATCTTTCTTCTCTGTTAGCAGACTCAGACTGACCTGCGCAACTGGTTTCTTTCCACGACTGTCATAAGGAGTTTTCCCAGGTTTAGGTGGTGCCTTCGCTGGTTGTCTGAAGGGCTCCTCCACTGGCTTCCTCGGTTTGCTAGGTTTTGGTGGCTGACGATATTGAACTGGTGGTGGAGAGGGTGTCGTTGGTATGCTACCTCCTCCTCTACCAGTTGGCAGTGGTATTTGCTGCTGAGGACGGTACTGGCCAGGCTGACTCGGGCCACCTAGGTTCGAGTTTCTGGATATCGAGCCAGGATTACCAGGATTCGGACGTGGTATGTTTTCCTCGCTCTCTTCTTCGCTGTCCAACTGTTCATCGCTCAGCTCCACGTCGTCGTCTTGACTGTCGTCTCGCGGTGGATCGCGGTCTTCTGGTTCCTCGTTTACAGGTTTGACCTGGTGATGCCCTTGTGGCCCTGGTCCCGTGGGCAGATTTGGTCGTAGCGGTCTGCCCGGTGTAAAGGATCCTGGGCCTGTTGGAAATCCATCCTCGGGGCCCTTTGGTCTAATTTCGGAGGAAGAGATTCATGAATGAGTAACTCGAGGAACAGTTACAAGTCCTAGGTGAGATACAATATCGAATATAGCGAAACTAGTTAGGGATTGGGAGTCAAGTTCAAGTTGAAATATTTTTAAGAAATTATATCTCGTATAGAACTACTATATAACTCTCTAGGCAGAACAGCAGGATTGGTATGTATCATTCTTGTGTATATCTTAACAGATACGAAAAGTTTCACGCAGCAGTGTTGAAGAGTGTCTTGAATGATTGTATCTAGAGATGGTAAACAGTAGTCTGTAATACCTGAACGATGTAATTGGACGACGTATTCGTTGATTAGGAAGCAAAGCCTGTGTTTGGCCCACTGGTCTAGGGGGTGGTAGCTTCTGGAATCGTGCCGATCGCAGGGCAATCGGTAACCCTTTCGGTGGAAGGCCTCCGTCTACGTTTGGCTGAAACTGGGCCGAAACCAAGACAGTGACGCACGCTAACAACTGTAATTAAATACGTAACAATTAGTCCTCATGGTTAATTCATTCTGTAGGGAATTTTGTAAATACATACGGTGTATATCAGGAAAAAAAAATGATCAGAAACAAGAGTAATTTTTGTTTATACTGAAAGGATTTCGAATTGTGAATAAAAGTGAATAAAACAAAGTGTAACTTGCAACTCTCCAAGGCTGATCTTTCTTTCTCCACATTCTATAAATAATGATTCCATAAACTGGCGAGCTCGTTTTCTGACATAATAAGCTTGAGAATAACAGTGAAAAGTTCCCCCGTTTATTGAAAATCTCCAATTACGGTTTTTTGTTGCTTTCCCATTAACGATCAAATTATCGCTCCGATTAATACTGTGCCAAGTATGCATCGATCGGGATCAATGTTGCGTGCTATTACGGAAGCGTTTTTCTCTCTTTTTTTTTATGAATATTTAACTAGAGTTAGCCGCCCATTGACAGGCGGAGAAAGTAAAAGGTACTCGCGCGTGTAACAGCGCGAATGCAAGTGTCCTTACGGTTATTTCCTCGTTCGTTCTTAACGAGTTCTTTCTCGTTGTTATCTCTTAAATGTCAACTATTCGTTACGTGGACATATGCAGATTTCACGTGTTGACTGGCATGCTAAATTCGCGCGTGAGTCAGGTCGTCAATTTATGGAATAAGATCTTTTCGATATATCCAAACGATAAGGTGATGGGGAAAAAATAAAGTTTTAAGTACTGTACGGAGATGAGAAGTTGGCTAGTGAATCTGATTGGTTACAAAATAATCTCATAGATTGTTATATAGAATTCTATATAATAACACAGATAATAACAGACTATATTAGGTGTAGAAATTAAGTCTGTGCCTTTATATTCAACTGTTTATAACTCTCGAACTACGAAGATTGTACTATTGGTTGGCTACTGAGTCTGATTGGTTACAGGACAACAATAATAGATTGTAATAGATTATATTAAGTCCAGAAATTAATTCTGCACCTTTATATTCAACCACATATAACTCTTGGACTCAAAAGATTGGTATTTTAATGTAACTAGATGACAAATAAATATGTTTACTTAAACTAGAGCTATAAACGATTGAATATATAATCAACGCGCGCGCCATATAACTCAGATACTACCGCGACTCGAGGTATCGAAATCGAATCGCTTTCTCTTCCTCTCCGGTATTCGACAAAATTTACGCGCATACGCAACATACGACTCGTTCGAGGTGTGAGCCTAATTATCTGTGTACGTGCATACTTTTGATCAGAAATACGCAAACCAGAATGTGGAACCGGTACCACTTTTGATACGAGAGAACCAGTCACTCAGGCGAAACCTGTTCGAGGGAGAACGAACGAATATAAACAAGAAACACGAACAATCGAATTAAATTTAAACGAACGGCCTATTCGATAGCTTGGCGAGACATTTGCAATCCAATTCTATACGTTTAAATGTTACGCTTGTTTTCCCGCGCACAGAATTGTAACTGAGGGTGAATTTCAGGGCTCTGAACTCGTGATAAAAACAAACATAGTGTTACTTAATTTCGTAATATTTTTGAAACTATATTTGTCAATTTTTTCCCTAACGTTAAACGAGATTTAGAAGGATTATCTCACCCTAGAAGGGCGTTAGTTACGCCACAGTCGCAGTCGTTTCCTCGTTCGATTTTCGTTATATAAGAATATGAAATACCGGTCATGTTATTGCCATTAACGTAACAACTTGTCGCAACGTCAGTTATATCGAATTATCCAATAGAAAATAAATACGCGGCGAGAGTGAACCGTCGTGTTTGGCAAGCAACGGTGCTGAAACGATTTGTCTTGATAAATCTTGAGCGCGCATACTTGACGTGACATCTTTCGTGAAATCATTCAAACTGAATTTTGGGGTCCCCCGAATTAATTGTAAATGGCTTCCTTCTGAAAGGAATTAATGGTATGTTACAATTTTACTATAGGTTTTCCCATTAAGTTTTCAATTGAGAATCGCTTTCACACGGCTCTCATTTCGAGGCACGCCGTTTTTAATAAGAGCAAACGGCGAGACTTCTATGTAACCTCTTATTAAGGTTAAATGTTGCAACGTTCCACGCAGGTGTCGCACAGGAGGCATGGGAGGATATACAAGGCGTTTTAAAAGTAGAGCTACAGGTGGCTAATAACTCGCGAGAAGGAAGAAGAAAGCGATGGAAGCCTATCTTTCAGATTACAATCTTAAGCTACCTTGTTTATCTTCACAAATTGTCACGAATCATACGAAATACGTTAACAGCTGCCAAGCAGAAACTA